CAAGAAGATGTCGTTGTAGAATACCAATCGGCTTTCCCTTACCACATTTTCATGGTTGGCTATTTCCACGAACTATAGCCATCATGTCAAAGTAAACGAGTGTTGTTACCACATGGTCGACTATTGCAAAAAATCCTCACCTATAACTACAAACCTAGACTTAGTTGTGCCCATTGGTGTTTTGGTTGTCAGTTATTCCATAAGATAAGCATGCGTTATGAATACATTGTCGGTATAACATGGCATAACAGTGCATTCCTTACTACCCGTTGGCTAAGTACAAACACCATCCAACAATATGGCGAAGAACTATGTGTACACTTCAAGTTGGTGGCTATTTCTCCTGCCTATCAGCGCCAATGCTCATAGCCTTGGTTCTGACTTGAACTATACAGAAATTGGGCAACACTCAGTTAGTTGTGAATTCTTCAATGACCTTGGGCTATTTATTTCATAGTCGGCAAAGATTACATATCTAGTAGGGAACGAGCAGCGTTTGTATTGCTGGTATCAACAATGTTGCAAAGCCTCTCTTGAAGCTACAAGGAGTAATTAAGACCACTGGGGGCTTCGATGAGCACCAATACTACAAAGCCGCCTCCGATGATAAAAATACGTGAGACCATTGGGTGCTTCAACGAGCATCGCCGATGTTGCAGGGGATAACTGGTTGCAATGCATGGCTACTTCGCTGTGGTCCAGTGGTGATTACAACTCATGGTGGGATTGACACCTGTAACTAGCCCTCCTGTTGGATACATGTGTGTGTAGGAGGGGGGAGAGGGGTTTTGCTGCGCAGCAAGGCGTCCGACACAAGGCCTGTGATTTGCGAAGGAGAGAGACGAGCCCGAGCGAGAAGCTGATCCAATGACACATACGAATGTCCCGTAGTAGGCAAGGTGGTTGAATTCTCCCATGTATCAGATGGTTGGCTCCTAGCATGGGCAATTCACTATCTGACCTAGCCATCCATCCATTACTATTCTTTTTTCGGTGGACATGTCCAATAATATTTAAACTGCTCTTCACTTGCTTTTACCAGACCGAACAACTTCCTTATTATCTCACTTTCATAATATTAGCATGTATCCTGAGAGACAGTCGGATTTGTCAAGGATGGACCCCATCAAATACGGCGAAGGTACTCATCCATAGGAGCCGCCACATCCTTTGTACCTACATTACATTTGCATAATTAAACCTATGGGAAAATATGTGGGGCTTATTTGCGTATGTTAATTCGAAATTTTATAGAGCAATCATTCTCTGGGAAGGGTTTTTGGGTGAACATTTTGTGTGCGTCCAATCCCGCCCACGAATCTCAACGCAGTGACACATGGAAATCCTCGTAGGTGTATTGTTCGCTCGTATGAGCCTCTCAGCGCGAACACTGACATTCGCTCCATCCACCACTGGAGAGAGAACGAGACCTGCACCCATGAAGTCCAAAGCATGCCAACTTCTCTGCATAGCATGACAATTACCAAAATATGTGTGGCAATTTCTGTGCATAACATGGCATTTTTTCTGTTGTAATATGGCAATTCCTGGACATGTGTAGAATCTTTTTTGTCATACCATGGTAAATCTTTTTGTTATAACATGATAATCTTTTTCTACCAGCATGGCAATAAACGATAGTGTGAGTAATTTCCTCTTTGATGACATGGCAATTCTCCTTGTTATAGCTTGGCAATTGACAGTAGTGCAATCAATGATCATGTGGCAAAATTCTACGGTGTACCATGCTAAATGCTAGACATGGGAATTCTCCTTTTTATATCATGGCATTTTTGTGTCCCATCGCATAGCAAACCCAGAACACATGTCAAGTTTTCTCTACTGCAACATGGCAATTCTCTCTTCACAACACGGTGTAGCATGGCCATTCGCTCTTCATAACATGGCAATCCTCTAGAGATGTGTGAGGAAGAGGGCGTAGAGCATCGTTTGTTGTCTAGAACCTTTCAGAACGAATGACCCCGTTCACTTGTTTGAGTCACCCGGACATAATAATCGTTCGCGTCAAGGGCTTAGGGAAAGCATGTTATTTCCCTGCCAGTCTTTGATAATAATACAATAGTAGAAAAAATACAATACATATAGATGTATGTACCAACCATACGTAGACACCTCTACAAGTAACACAAATCACAAATATCAATTATATGATCGTACTCCTTTTGCAATTTGCATGTGGTATGGCGTGCGTCGGAAGAAATATTGATGCCTTAATTAAAAACATATGTTTACATCCCGAAAAGAGAGAGCTTGTGAATCTTTATTTCTAACTGAACACATGTTCAATTCCTGAGCTCGACGACTATGTCAGCTACAACATGTCATGTGTTTGGTGCATGTGTTGTTTCTGGCCAATTGGTTTGGCACGAAAGCGATCAGATGGCCATGCATGGATGGCTTGAGCTACGGTGGCAGCGGCCAGATGCATGGCACGAGTAGCAGTGGCGGATCTAATGAGGGTGCTGTGGTGCCATGGCAACCCTAAAAATTTGTGTTTTTTATCTAGTTTTTTTAACCTGTTTTTAGGGGTATCTAGTTTTTTTACCTATATAGTAATAATTATTCGAATTCCATGTGTATTAGAGGTAATAAAACTGAGCAGCCCATCTATCCCTAAAGCCCACTGGCCCATCCACGTTTCCTTGGGCTGGACATAGCCAGCTACGCCTCCAGACTTGTCCTAATCTCCCTTTGGATTTTCTCAAAAAAAAAAAATCGATCCCCTTTGGATCGACAGAACTGAAAGTCTGAAACCTAGCCTCGGCGGCGTGGTGTTGGGGCTGCGGCGGCCGGCGGGGACAGCGATCGCCGGCCAGAGGGCGGAGGCGACCGGCGTGGGCGGCTGCCAGCTGGGCGCGTTTCGGCGTGCTGCCCTCTAACTCTCCGACTCCAGTCTCCATCTCTCTCAACCTACAAGGCTACAACCTGGTGTAAGTGTACATCTGTACATTAGAATCTTCCCCTTTGTGATTTTTGATTGAATTGTTTCCTGTGCCCTGGCCCCTGTGTTGATCCGAAAATTGATGTTCGGTTTTCATCATTTGTTTTGTAGAATTTACTGAGACTTGGGCTAACACTGTAGATTGAGAGTTGAGATATGAAGAGAGATAATCCCATAGTGTCTCCATTTCGGAAGCATGAAGATGCAAAGGTGCAAAAATAGGACCGTCGTCATCACCGTCTGTTACTGCTCTAGTAGAAGGGCACACCGCACACTCGAGAAGAGGCAAGGACTGCTCAAGAACAAAGTTGTTGGAGTTGGACATCAAACTCCTACTCCACCTCCCTGTGGAGCGGAAAGAAATGGAAATCAAACTACTGTGCCGCGGCTGTTTTTTGTTCCTCCTGTGCAAAGAAGGACGAATGGAGGTCAGAGGGACCTGATGTGTTGCGTGCCTGCTGTTGGCTGCTATTCCAGTAGGTATATACACTTGTTTTTATTCTCTTGTTATTCAAATATGCAAGCTCTTATGCTCAGTGTATTGTTTGTTGATCAAATACTAATTACTTATTATCTCATATCTTGTATGGATGAGCAAATTCAGCTGCAATAAACACCATGAAGGATGTACAAAGTCTCTAGCAGTCAAACAAGGTAACTATCTTGTATGTTTTTGACATTTTCATAATTGTTACAATATACGAATTTGCGATGTTTGCATTACATTTAAGTTCTGAGCTCTGCGCTTTTTTTTAGTGGCACCCCCCGTAGTGTACTTCTAGATCCGCCGCTGACAAGTAGGATGGCTCCTCGACGGCAGTGGTGGTGTTATAGGAGAGGCGGTAAGATGTCCACCAATCCGTTAGTGCCACTGCCCCCTCTCGTCACTGCTGGCGGGACACTCCTCTCCTTGATGTGGTTGGCTAGATGACACCTTTGCGCATGTGCTTCATTGGTACATGGTTGGGAGGAGGTGTCAGGAGAGACGTCTGGACTCCTCTGGTGGACACTATGGTGGTTCTTTGCGGAGTACTAGCTTAAGCAACTATTGGATTATCCGTTTGGAAGATGTTGCTTGGAGCACCGCTTCATGTCCAGAGTGAAAACTAATCGTCTAACCTTCATTGGTTGTCACAACAGCGGTGAAACTTGCGTCATTACCTTGTTGAAGGCACAATCTCCACGCCGATGTTCTGGCCTTCATTGGTTGGTCTTTGCATCCAGATGAAAATCCTTTGTCCTGTCCGTCTCTGGCTGGACATGGGCAATGGTGAGCAGGGCGCTATCCCTTCTTGAAAGCGTGGATGCGGCAGAAGTAAATTTAGTCCTAGGTGCTGCATATCTTGTACTAATAGATTTACCATAGTTGTGTTTGTCTTGTACAATGTCTGTTAGCTTTTTATGCCTTCATTGCCTTGCACAAAACTTTAATAAATTATGGCCGTGTGCACCTGAGGTTGCAGAGGCCGGGACATTGACACTTCCTTCTCAGAAAAAAAGAAAAAAAAAATGTACCATTCATGTACAATCCATCTGTACTAAAGAAGACTTTCCAGAGGCTTGGTCTTAATCGAAGTAAATTGGCTGTAAGACATTGAGTTAACCCACCGCTAAGAGTTAGCTATTATTCTCTCACTTGACCATTCGCTCCATGTAAACTCAGAACTCTCTTCGGAGAATCCAAACCAAACAAGCAGCTACCTACAAGAAAATATAGCATTGTTCACCAGATACTTTGGCACCAAGCAGTTTGGTCACAGTTGACGTAGTGGTGTACTAATTGCAACGAACTTGTTAGTTTCTTAGTAACCACAAGCCTCTGAGCTGTACGCTCATGGATTTGTACTGAGTGGAGAAGAGCGAAATAGCAACCAAACTCCTGATCGAGGTGCCCCATATATATATCCACCACAGCAGGATGATCTTTCATAAGATCACGAAGTCAGAGGCAAATATGATCAGGCACACCATTACTTTCTTCCTGTTGCTCCTTCTGCTGGGCACATCACTCACAGATGCCTCACAGGAGGATCAGCTCATGAGGTTCCTCGAGTCCACGGCCAAGAAGAGGCAAGCTGACAGGGCCAGTAATCCAAACGTAGCTGAGGGACCCGACCCATGGGCCGACGCCAGCAGCTTCAGCCACCTGCCCACGCGTTGCCCGATTCCATTGGCGGGCGCCAAGGCGACCGACAAGATCACCGCGCTGCCCGGCCAGCCTCCGCGAGTCAACTTCGACCAGTACGCCGGCTATGTCACGGTGAACGAGGAGTATGGCCACGAGCTCTTCTACTACTTTGTCGAGGCCCCCTACGAGGCGGCCTCCAAGCCACTCATCCTTTGGCTTAACGGTGGGCCTGGGTGCTCATCGCTGGGGTATGGCGCCATGATGGAGCTCGGCCCGTTCCGAGTGAACCCCGACGGCAAGACTCTGAGGAGGAACAAGCACGCCTGGAACAACCGTAAGTTGTTAAGTGGAGCTGGCTTCTATCTAAGCAGAGTAGATACACTGAACTGATTAGATGTGTGCAGTGGCAAACGTGATCTTTCTGGAGTCGCCAACCGGAGTGGGATTCTCCTACGCGAGCAACAACTCGGATAATATCAACAAGCGGGGCGACCAGAGAACCGCCGAGGACACATTCGTCTTCCTGCTCAACTGGTTGGAGAGGTTCCCCGAGTACAAGGGCCGCGACTTCTACATCGCCGGTGAGAGCTACGGTGGCCACTACGTGCCGCAGCTCGCCACCGTAATCACCTTCATGAGCGAGCTCCACCACACCACTTTCATAAACCTCCGCGGCATCTTCGTAAGCCTTTCGCATGCGACTTTGCATAATTATTGGGTTTTTGTGGTAGCCATGCATATGCATGTTTCGTTTGTATTACATCTAGGTCGGCAATCCGATCCTTGACAATTACAAGAACAACGAGGGGAATCTGGAGTTTCTATGGAGCCACGGGCTGATCTCCGACGAGATCTGGGCCGGGATCCGTGCTAACTGCACTTTCACCCCGAAAGACGACTTGCGGTGGTGCTCTGTGTTGGGGCAGGCGTTCCACATAGGCAACATCTATCCCCGAAACATATACGACCCGAGGATCTGCCTTCCGTCGGCACGCGAAGGCTATGTAAGATAGATATAATGTGATCCCTTGGCTACTCTCCTACTCTCTTTCCCAATAAGAATTGCTCATTCCTATGGCCAGTCAGACAGTCTCACAGTGTCCACAATTTTTGATTTGCCAGCTGGCTGGCTATGATCCGTGCATGGAGTACTACGTCGAGGCTTACCTGAACACTGGCGAGGTGCAAGAAGCTCTGCACGCCCGCACCAACACAAGTTGGATAGCTTGCCCAAGAGAAAGGTATATACTCTATCTGCACACTGTTCTGCTGCTACACTACCCCCACCTTTTTTTTCTTCTCTCTTGTGGGCAGCAGTTAATATGCACTGCACTCACAGTCCTTTAAGCGTCCCCTTCCATTATAACCCCGGCCCAGTTACCGTGGTGCCAACGATCAGGAGGCTAGTCGAACGTGGGTTAAGCGTATGGGTCTATAGGTACTACTCTATACATGCACAATGAGCATTGAGCAGAATAAAGTATCTAGTCTTGAGGTTTTTAACTAGAACGGCCATCTTTCTTCAGTGGCGATTTGGATTCCACATGCTCGATTACCTCGACGAGGTACTCGGTCAAGGATCTCAACTTGCCCGTCACCAAGCCATGGCGTGCTTGGTACACCCCGGACCTCGAGGTAATTAACCGCTGTGCAGAAATAGACACCAGCAAGAGCTAATTAAGTAAAATTCAGATGTGATGTGTGCTTGACCCTGTGATGAAATTCATGGGCTTATAGGTTGGAGGCTATGTTCAGCAGTACGAGGAAGGCTTCACGTTTGCATCGGTGAGGGGTGCAGGCCATCTGGTTCCTAGCTATCAGCCAGAGAGAGCCCTTGTTCTTCTCTACTCTTTCCTCAAGGGCAGGCTCCCACCTGGGTGACGTCCCAAACTGAATTGGGATATTTGGGCACCCACATGTTAATTTACGGTGTGTTCTGATTCCAATATTGGATCTATAAATAAGTCGCTGCTTATACACAACTACGAAGTGACATATTCAGGCCATAGTCATATGGTTTAACACTTCTGTGCTGAAAAGGTTGTATGCTGTTCACATGAAAATAATAGATTGAATATCACATCTGAATTGTGCCGGATGGACATCTTTGAATTTTAATCACAGCGTCATTTCCATAAAATCTTGTGACCACGAGCAGAATGAAAATAAGGCAATCCTCTCAGTACAAGGACATAGTTTTTATTTTTATTTTCTATGAAGAAGATAAAAGGACATGTGTAAGACACGAAACATGATGATGTTAGGATTTAGTGACCTAATTGTTCTATTCTTAAAGATTTATGATTTGTGTTGCTAATTATTTGATAGTACTAACCATTTGTAACTATGGGATCATTGTTCTCATCCTTCCATCAAAAGTTAGGACTAATCCCTAGTATCAACGGCAGCACACAGGCCGAAGTGTAAAATACTGTTCTGGCACTGGCAACCAGTGGCGTAGCTAGGGGGTGGCCAGGGTGGTCCATGGACCATCCTGATATTTCCCCATAGCTTGTATATAATGTACTAAAATAAACATTTCTTTGAAAAATAAATAATTTATGTTAATATTTTTATTAATGGACCACCCTGGTGTATTGGGCTGGCTACGCCACTGCTGGCAACGTATAAGGACAACCGAGTGTACCCATGAGGAAATTCAAACAATCATACATCACCGGGGCAGCATGCCAAATGGTGATCTCTCCTAACTGTAAGCTTTTCTAAGTTTGCGGACAAACTATAACTGGACGACGTACAGCCGGCATAGGCAGTATTAATAGAACAAAAGACACAGACATGTTATTTTTCTTTCATTTTCCTCTCTGTCTCGTTATATGGTCTTCTGTCTCGTTATATGGTCTGAAGAACTTTTCAAGGCTCCAACACTGATCGCGTCAAAGCATTCTCCTTCCATTGTCCTTACCTATATAAGCACCTGGAACGCCACTCAGATGTTCGTGGAAGCGACGACGGCAGCTAATTTTCTTCAGAAAGCATCATGAGGAACACTTCCTTGTGTCCCCTCATTCTCCTCATCTGCGTGGCGGCGTGGTGCGCAGATGGGTCGCAGGAGGCTCGATCGGCTCAGAGAGTTGATCCTGTCCAAGAGGACTAGCACCCATAGCAGTAGCAACAGCGTAGATGAACCAAGGATAGGAGCTACTGCCACCAGTGGCCTCCGAGCAGAGCACTCCGTCTCTGACCAGAGCGATCAGAAGGACGCCGACAGGATCGCCGCCCTGCCGGGGCAGCCGCCCAACGGCGTCGGCTTCAGCCAGTACGCAGGCTACGTGACCGTCGATGAGATGAACGGCCGGGCGCTCTTCTACTACCTTGTCGAGGCGGCCACCAACGCGGCGACCAGGCCACTCGTCCTGTGGCTTAACGGAGGTTCGGCCATGCATACATAGAGATGCACTTGTCTGAATGTCTCGTCTCTCATACGTTATGTAAAATGATCTTACATTTTGGGACGGAGTACTTGATATATTTCCATGCGGTGCAGGTCCAGGATGCTCATCCTTCGGCTACGGAGCAATGGGGGAGCTGCGCCCATTCCGCGTCAACAGCGACAACAGAACCCTCAGCACAAACGAGCACGCCTGGACCAACGGTTAGGGAGCCACAACATTACAACAACTGGTAACGGTTTTCTACCCGTGACCCACACGTGACATGTGAATGTGTTGATGCTTGTGCAGTGGCTAACGTGCTCTTCCTCGAATCGCCTGCCGGCGTCGGATTTTCCTACTCCAACACGACCTCCGACTACAACAAGAGCGGAGACCAGAGGACATCGGAGGACGCGTTCCTCTTCCTCGTCAGCTGGTTCGAGAGGTTCCCGGGGTACAAGGGCCGCTCCTTCTACATCTCCGGGGAGAGCTACGCCGGCCACTACGTGCCGCAGCTCGCAGCCACCATCTTGAGCCACAACACTTCCATAAACCTACAGGGTATTTTGGTACGCGTGATTATGTTTAGTTAAACATACACTTCATAACAGTTAACACATATATTTCCTAGTGAAGATCGTATAATATAGCTTGCGGATCTCTAATTGGTTAGGTGGGCAACCCATATCTTGATGATAACATGAACACAAAAGGGGTGACCGACTTCCTGTGGGGCCATGCGGTGATATCAGATGAGGTGTACGCCAACATCACCAAGAGCTGCAACTTCAATCTGTCGGATGGAAGCGCATGCTCTGACGCCATGGCCGCATATGATACTGCCAACACTCTCCTCTTCGACATTTACGGACCTGTTTGTATCGACGCACCCGACGGAAAATACTACCCCAGCCGCTATGTAAGATATACGTATTTTGGAGTACATCTTTTCTGATAGTGGCAAATTATATGCACGTAACACACTTTCTTTGAATACCTAATTTCTGAAGAAAAAATATCCGCTCTAAATTGTGCAGGTGCCGGGGTATGATCCATGCACCGGCTACTACATAGATGCTTACCTCAACGATCCTGAGGTGCAAAAGGCTCTGCATGTTAGAACGACCAAGTGGGCGGGCTGCACGTAAGAGTTAGCTTAGTTGGGGCCAAGATAAATACTCTTGTGAGCATCCACTCAGTCCACTTACCGCTGCTGTGCTTGTGCAGGGACTTGCACTGGAAAGATTCATCGGCGTCCATTGTGCCAACGCTCAAATGGCTCATGGGCCACGGGCTGCATGTGTGGTTGTTCAGGTAGGTAACATGCCAACCCCAGGCTGAACTGCAACTGCAAGCACGCATCTAACATTGCCAAAGTGTGTGGGTAACAAATAGTAATATGTTTTCAGCCGCGATTTCGACTCCGTGTGCCCGTTTACCGCCACGAGGTACTCCATCCATCCATGACCTTGGTGTCGCCGTCACGGAGCCGTGGCGCCCATGGACCGCGAACAAAGAGGTAAAGCATGACTACATGTTCTAGTCAGTTTGCACTTGTTTGTTTGTACTGACTGACACTGATAAATCTTTGCAGGTTGGAGGGTACGTTGAAGCATACACGGGCGGTTTGGTTTTTGCATCTGTGAGGGGCGCTGGTCATCAGGTCCCTTACTTCCAGCTTGAGAAAGCTCTGATATTGTTCAGCTCGTTCCTGAAAGGAACGCTTCCACTCTATGAAAAGGGGCAGTAGTATTATGGACCTAAGTAAGAATTGTGGTGTGTCATCCATCCAGATATGGTATTGCCTTAGCAAGGAGCTTCTTTTTTGTCTGTCTTTTACCTCTTCAAATGGACACGGGCTCTTGAATATACAACAAATTTATGGCACCTCTATTTTGTTACAACTGCCTTCCGGAGTGCCACGCACCTAACGTGTGGCACTTATCAACAATTAGGGATACCCGGAAATGGCAGATAAAACATTCTTCAACCTCTGCAGCCAAAAATGCTCAAAATGCAATTTATTACAAAGGTTATGCTAGAGTTGCGTCGTAGGAGGAAACAAAACAAGTTGAATAAAGTGAGGAGAATTGAGCATTACATAACTTGTTATCAAACCTCCATTTAAACCAGAACTACAACATCCTGGTTCCAACCTCTGGGTTGTGGAACTTCATGGTTGGTAAACTATACTAATGATGCAACAAAGATGATTATGATTAGGAATGGCATGTTTTTGACAGAAAATATTAGGTGCAACAATTTAGAGCATGGCTAATAATATAGCCAGTCAGCAACTGGCTATATAAGAGTGCCTTGTCATCAAGAGCTAGCAATACCATTGACTCGTATAATAGGGTTGACTATAAGGTTGGCTCTTAGCCTAGTAATTTTCTTCACTCTCTCTTTCTCTTTCCTCTTATTTACTCAGTTTACCTAGGAACACGTGTAGAGGTTGGCTCTTGCATTCCCTCCCTTTTTGCATGTCTCTCTCTTCCACATAGGCAAAAGTGTCATGTAAGTAGGCTTATAGCCCATTATTGTACGTGCTCTTACATGTTGAATCAGACTGCATCTTTGCAGTGGAATCAGTTCAACGAATAGATGCATACCTTGGTTTGGATGTGGCAATCATCATGGAGTGCAAGAAATTGGCCATTGACTTTACAAAAGTATGTTATGTGCATGGTCTCCATGAAGCTAATGAGGTGGTGGGTGGACTTGCAAACAATTCTTTTAGCACTAGATCCTCTAGCTTTTGGGACACTTCGATCCCTGACTTTGTTTCTCATTCCCTTGTAGACGATATGTCAATCATTCAAGGAATAAAGTCTATATACCGTAAAAGAAATTATACTGATCTTTATTGTAAGCTGCTTTCATGAGCGTGCTTACAAATGCTACTTTGGTGGTTAGGAATTCATTTATCCGAAGTCGGGATGAACCGGAAAGTTCTGATTGTACTACCATACGAGTGTAACCTCTATCCTCACCATCCATTTTTGCATCAAAAATCATGCAAGCAAACATCTCTTTTTTTGTTTCTTCAAAATAAAAGAACATTTGAACTCGAAACTTTGCAGATCAACATCACACAATTACTACCATGTGCATAAATGTTTTCGGATTTTCTGGGTGCAACATACATAATTAAAAAAGATATAACTCATTCAAAATTTAAAATTTGACAAATTTATGTTTTATGAAAAAAGGGGGAAATATTTTATACAGTGAGTGGCACTTGTGCTTATAAAACTGGAGATTTGAGGGAACGAATGCATCTAGCGCAATTTTGTGGCATATGGGGAGCAAAAGAGATATGGACTGGAAGCACGAGAATGTGAATGAGAAAAGATGGTTGTTAGATGTTTCGAAATTAGAAATCACCTGCCAGGATAGATGAATGTTTCTTCTACTTTGGTTCATCTACCCTTGGTTCATCTATGCTGTTTTTATAATGTGAATGAGAAAAGACGATCATAGTGGCAACTGAACTACCAACGTTTTTATATTGTACGATCAAATCGATTATATATCTAACTTGTGAGATCTCGCAGTGGCCAACGTGCTCTTCCTGGAATCGCCAGCTGGTGTAAGGTTTTCCTACTCCAACGACCTCCGACTGCGGCGAGAGAGGGAACAAGAGGACGGGAGATGACACATTGTCTTCCTTGTCAACTGGTTGACTGCCTCGTAAGGTTCCCGTAGTACAAAGGCCCGCCCCCTTCTACATCCGGGTAGAACTTCAATGGCCACTATGTGCCGCAGATCGCAGCCACCATCCCGAGCCACAATCTCAACAATGGTTTGCAATCCATACCTTGATGACAATATGAATGATAAGGAGGAGATTGACTACCTGTGGATCCATAGGGTGATATAATACGAGGTGTGGGCCAATATCACCAAGAACTGCAATTTAGACCCGCCAGATGACAAATCATGCCTGCTGTAAGATGATATGACCCATGATCCTGCTAACATCGATCCCTATGGCACATATGCACCGGCTTGCATGGAAGCACCCGAAGGAACACTCTACCGCACCCGCTATGTAAGAGAGCATCATTGAATTATAAGGAGTCACACATACCTTGAGTATTTGTTTTGCGAAAATAAATTTTGCTCTTAGTGAGGGCCAAAGCGCCCCCCCCTCCCCAATCAAATTTATTATTTTACATAAACACATAATAATTAACAAATTTAACATAGTACGCTAGATTAGCCCCCTAATTTCTATTTAAGACTCATTTAGCCCTCCCTCAAATCGCATTAAGCTCCGCCACTACATGACCCCCACGGATAGTAAATGGTGAGGTAAATTGAACATTACTGCATGCCCTGATTTGCTAGCAATTGTTTGCTCATTACCACTATGATAATCATGCCCTCGTTTGTTGCAGGTTTGAGGGTACGCTCAGGGATATACCGGTGGGTTGGTGTTTACAACTGTGTGGGGAGCCGGGCACATGGTACCTTCCTACGAGCCCGAGAAAGCGCTGATGTTGGTCAGCTCCTTCCTGAATGGAAGTCTTCCACCGCACTAAAGGGGGCTGTGATATGTGAACTGAGTAGAAATCGTGCATGAATATGCTTAAGCGCCGCAGCCGCAGACTTCACTAGTAGGAAAACCCTTATTAGTCCTATAAAGGATGCTATAGTATCTATCACCCTTGGCTCATTGCGGGGGAGAGTGACCTCTGGCTGTCCGTTTACGATTAGCTTGCCCGGGAGCCTCTCGGGGCGGCACAAGTTGTCCGATTTGCTCGGATGACTTGTGCCTGAGTGACCCGGATAGAGGGTGCATGACGGGTGGACCGCTGGGCTTGTCCAAGGCCATCGTCACTGAGCAATGTTGGGCGTGTCCGCGCTCGTGCGCGAGCGCCTGATCGGGCTTGCCTGTCAGGCTCCTCGCCCCGTAGGGCTGGTCTAGTCTCGACAGGCGCACGAGCCGGGTTGCGGTCGTAGCGCCGGCTCGTGTGTGAGGCCTGGTTCAGGCTTGTGTGCACCGGTGGGCGCATAGGGCCAGCCTATGTGAGCCGACTACTGCATGGGGCCACCCAAGCAGCGTGTCGGGTTTGTCCGGTCGTGTCGGATGGTGTGTGCTGTCCGATTTGCCCGGATGGCTTGCACCCGGGCAACCAGACTAGAGGGTCCATGACGGGTAGACCGCTCCACGTGCCCAGGGCTATAATCATTGGATGCCGTCGGGCACGACCGATCCCCCCCACCCCCCGTTTGGCATCCTCTCCCCGCTTTGTGCTGGCTCGTGCTTCGCGATCGAGCCCTACGCAACGTTCATTCTCGGGGGCGTGCCAGGAGGGCCTCTTTGAGTCGTAGATTCGTTTATTCAAAATGTTTTATCTCTTAAATCGTGCGTTCAAATCTCGAACCGTTTTCATCATTAGATTTCCCGCGTCGAGATCTTCAAAATTAGATCTCATGTCGATAGGTTTTGATGAACTTTTTTCACGAAAAAACCGGACAAAAAAAACAGACGAAAAAACCGAACTGGGAGCACGGGTTTTTTCCCTTTCCGAAAGAGGCACGCCCATGCCTCTCGCCAAATCACTACCTTGACTCTCGCAGAATCAAAATCATGCCTCTCGTGGAAGCAAAACCGTGCCTTTTTTGGAAGGAAAAAACAAAAAACACGTTTTTTTGGTTTCCGAGAGGCACGGCTTGCGAAAGCACAACCGTGCCTCTCTCAAAAGCAGAATCGTGTCTCTCATGAAAGAAAGAAAACAAAAATATTTTTTTCCCGTTTACGAGAGGCACGGCCGTGACTCTCGCGAAAACAAAAACCGTGCCTCTCACGAAAGCAAAACCGTGAATATCGCAAAAGAAAAAAGCACGTTTTTTCACGCAAAAAAATTCAAAATAAAATTATTGGTCCAAAAATTAAGGAAGACCGGTGAAAAACCGAAACGTCAAAAAAAAACCCAGAAAAAAACC